CATGTTCTATTACCAGTTTTTAATACCACTTCTAAACGTATGCGGAGAAATAATTAACGAATTAACTGTATTATATATTTCATTGGCAAAAATCTGTGCGATTAATCTAATTTTATATATTTAGATAAATAATTATCATAAATAATTAATGAATACGCCATACGGTGTGAAGACCGATTTTTATCACGATCGGGATGATTATTTCAGATTTATACGCTTATTAGATTTTTTTCCATGAAGTATGTCATTATCTTTTTATCCTGTTATGAAACACTATTTGATCATACGATCTGGCAGGGGAAAAAACCCGCAATAAAGCACATGGACGTAGAGGAAATGGTTTCTCTCAGGGCTCACACATAAATGTGTCATATGTTGTGTGGTGTATGAGTTAAAGACTCGCCATTATTTCCATTAACCCTGATATCCACTGAAAATGGTGAAATGGCACAGCAAGCGAAAATTGTCTTCGATGACTTGGGATTTTCAGACGAAAATCCTTAATTTATCCCTTGAGGCTTTTCTTATCGTTTAGAAATTTGTATTTGCTTCTTTGTTGCAAAAATAAAAATGATCTTATTATAACATTGTGTTGGTCTGGGTGGTCTTTGATTTTTCTAATCTAAAGACATGACCTTAATTTATTTCTTCAAAACTTGCCTTTTTTAAATAGTTTTTTTTTTCTAATGAGTTTCTCTGGTACAAGGCCGATCGAAGTGTACACAAGGGGGCATTCTTGGCCCCTTCCTATTTATTATTTATACTGCTGGTAAATGAACTCAAATTATGTTTACGTTAAATAAACAACGTCTATGCATTTACATCAAGGAACGACATCTGCACAGGTTAAATACCTTCGACAAAGATTGTGAGAAGATATCCTCACTGAGCATGGCGCAATGCCGAAACGTTTGAGTAATAAGTGTCCGTATGCCGGTTCAGCATGAGACTCGCTGACCAACAATCTAGGGCTTGAACTTAAACAGTAGACTTGACATAGCCACACAAGACTAAAGCGACGAGAACTAAACGTCTTGGCCAAGTAAGAAGATTTCTAGGACCAAAATCAGACCGTAAATAACAAACTGACACTGTAATAAACAATTGACCATTTTTGATATACAGTGTGGTTACTACCATGCCATCTAATATCAAACTAATCCAAACATTCCAATCAAAAGTCTTAAGAAGAATTCTCTCAGCCTTTCACCTCACTATCCGCAATGACCTTAAACCGTTAAAGAATGATCGGTTTCAGCTTCGTTAAGTTTCGATCTTTTAACCCATCCAAACCTTAATGCTCAAGAATTACGATACTTAAAACCACCCATCCGAGAATCACAAATCGATGGTCAGGGGATCTCGTCATCCTTAATCGACAAAACCTAAGTGCCAGCCTTCATTTAGCACGCCTACGAGTGCAGTGCTGGTAGTGTTTCTGATTTGGCTGTGTTTTTATCGCATATATAACAATTAATGTATAGGATACAAATACTTAAATAAAAATATTTTTTTATTTTTTAATGATACATTATCCTTTACAAAAAATAATCTAATAATATTTGTTAATTTAATATAAAGCTTGTTGGGCTGGGAGGTCTTTGGATTGTTAAGTATGAGAGAATTTTCCAGCAGTTTTAGCATTTCTAGTTCCTATTATAAAATTCCTTATATTTAAAAAAAATATTTTAAATTTATTTTATAATGGTATATCATCCTTTACCAAAATACAAATGATCTATTTACTAATAGATAGGGCACTCTCAACACGACACACAAGAATGACACATCTGCACGGAAAACAAACACTTTGAGCCCTGAAGATGATCTCCATAAAGACCGAAACGTTGGCACGATAAAGAAAATGTTTTTCTAAAACCTACGTCACACCAGACCTCATCTCACGATCTCCAAATAATCTATTTACTAATTTAATATGAATTATGTAGGACTAGTGGTATTTGAATTGTCGACGTTGAAATCATTTATGTTTAACATCATTGGACGATTAAATTATAAAGAAAAAATTGTGAACAAAAATAATTCAGAAAATATATATGGCTCTATTTTTGTTTTTCATATGTGTGTAATATTATGTTCTTTTTACTGTGTAGTGTACCGACCTTGTTTTTGTTAGATTTCGGCTATTTGGTAAACTTCAAGCGTTATTCAATTAATTAATCTTTATGTAAGGTATTGGCTGAGATAAAAAGTCAGTGTCACGAGCGGGATTCGAACCCACGACCTTCGGCTAGATACGCCGCTGCTCTACCACTTGAGCTATCGTGACTTCGATCCTCTCTGCACCAACTCCCCATCTCAACCTACCTTTCGAATTTTCCCTCCTTTTTGCCATTTTTCAAATGTCGAGTAATCAGGATTCGATTTTCAGCTACTGAGCTGTTAGTACTCTGCTATCCGACGTCCATAGCCCATCTAAATGGGATAAAATTCAATTTCATCAAGCGATTTGCAACAACTTTGGAGATAAAAAAAGTCCGTGTCACGAGCGGGATTCGAACCCACGACCTTCGGCTAAATGCGTGGCTGCTCTACCACTCGAGCTGTCTTGACTTCGAACCACACTAACTTCCCATCTCAACCCAACCTTCCGAATTTTCCCTCCTTTTATACATAAAGATTAATTAATTGAAAGATTTTATTTGATCAATCGGACCATGAAATCTAATGAATTTAAGCGTTATTTTTATTTATTGGGCATAAATTATTTAAGGATAAGCGGTTAATTCGGATGAAAATTCATTGAGGTTCTTCAGTGATATCGGCGATTTCCTTTTGATCTTACATTCATTGTTTTATTACCACATCGGCCATTTGCCCTCTAAACCAAGTAGAAACGTCTTAATTCTAAATTTTATCAAGGATAATTATAATTGCTTGCATAAACAGCTCTAATTGCAAGGTTTCGCAATTAATCAAAATTCTGTTCTCGAGCGCGTTATTCCCCAAGTATTGTCGGATAGAATTTATTATTCCAGCAGGGGAAAACCCCAAGTGGATGAATAGAAGAGAACGACAAAAGAAGAAGCGAAGAATAAGCCGACCTTTATGAATGAATAAACGCTGGGAGCGGTGTGTGAAGCTCGTGCGAAGACTTTTCAAATCCCGATTACGAAGTATCACCCCCCCTTTCGAGTTGAAAAAGAATCTTGCCCGTGGTTTCTGGATCGGACGGTTTCTTTCTGACCAGATTCGAGGAATTTCCTCGGTGACTTGAAGGATGCAGGGTAGGCTACTGGGGCACGACCGAAGAACGGTATGGGTCAGCAAAGGACAATTTTTCCGAGATGAAATCGTCGATCCTGTCTTTTTAGCACATCGACTTGTTAAGGACGTTTGAACAGTCTGCAATCAATTCACTATTTTAATGAATGTATCCCATTTATGCAAATGCATACACTTTCTAAATATCTTTGAGACCTTTCCGAAATATTTATTGAGACGTGAGTTTATTTTTTGACCTCTTCTCTTGACTACATTTTGTCTTACGCTTCTAACGACCGATTTCTAAATTTTCGCCATTTACGCGTATCAAGAGTTACTATTCAATCAAAAAGTATAGAGTGGTAATGTTTCAGTCATTCACTTTGCTCCATCCATCATAACAAATAATGGCAGAAAGGAGGGAAAATTCGAAAGGTTAGATTGAGATGGGAAGTTGGTGTCCGAGTGTCGAAGTCACCGATAGTTCAAGTGGTAGAGCAGCGGTGTATAGAGCCGAAGGTCGTGGGTTCGAATCCCGCTGTGACACTGACTTTTCTATCTCAACCAATACCTTATATAAATTATTCAGAAATCGTGAGATGCGGCCTGGTGTGATTTAGGTTTCAGAAAAACATTTTCTTTATCGTGCCAACGTTTCGATCTTTATTGAGATCATCTTCAGGGCTCAGAGTGTTTGTTTGCCCTCTCAACACGACACGCAAGAATGGCACAATTACACAGAAGATAAATACTTTGAGCCCTGAAGATGATCTCAATAAAGATCGAAACGTTGGCACGATAAAGAAAATGTTTTTCTGAAACCTACATCACACCAGACCGCATCTCACGATTTCTGAATAATTTTCGATTAACGGTCACTAACCACCACACACCTTATATAAAGATTAATTAATTGAAAGAAGTTATTTAGATCACGATATACAATGGATTATTTACATAGATAGAAAGAAGAAAATTTCTGCTGTAACGGTTGTATAAAAGACCCATTTAAACCAAACTTCACTACGTCCTTAAAATTAACGTTTTTAACTTAGCTTAAGCGGACATGCTTACACAGTCGTCGAAGCATTGCATTTGATTTTGAAGTATTTCTTAATGGGATGGCATTATTTTCCTGATATATATAAAAAGAACACTTTGCTGTGCAGATATCTCGAACCTCGTGTGTTCATTTATGTACAAAACTTATAAAGACCTTCACTCCGACCGTGTAATTTATTCTTACGGAGTCAGGAGGCGAAAGTTGTTTTCACGAGTTGGTTCTTCGTGTTTACTCACCGCGAGGGTGGTTAAAAAGGGTAAAAGAAAAGTTCACGCGAGTTCCCGAAAAAAACGCCTCTTTGACGTCACCGGGCGAAGAAAGTGTGCGGTTGAGCCCAGATGTTGGACTTAGTGGAGGCGTGACGTCTGGAGCGGATCACGGTTTTTCTCGAATTACGTCACATTTTCTGTAATTAACATCGGCCGAATGCACTCTCTTACTTCACATCATTCAACGACCGATCGCATCCTCGAAAGGATCCTCTTTGTAAATCCATAAGGATGACTTACTGTTTCCACAACGTGAGTTTGAACAGGTTCAATTAAATTTCACACCGGAACTTACTTTATTCCTGTACAATGTTGCCAAAGGAAGACAATAAACAATCGGACTATAACATACACTCCAAAATGATCGATTCTGCATATGCTTTAGAATGGCTTCCATTAGGTTTTAGCTTAAAATAATGTGAATATGTTTTGTTTTTGTCCAGATGCCTCAACGCGTGCCGACAGGAGGGCTTAGCCCGATATCAGATGATTACTCTGCCGTTTTCACAGCGGATTCTTTCGACCTTTCCCTTCTTCCGCCATCGCAGCTGTACAAGGAGGAGCCGTTCCCCTGGTCGCCGATAAAGCCCGAGCCCTTAACACAGGAGGAGGAAGACTACCTGAACTTGAACGAAGACAAATCCGACCACAAACTATTGCGGGAGGTGCTGAAAGACACCTCCTTTCAGAGGAGGTACAACCTGATACCCGTCTCCGTCGGGGAGCTCGGCACAGGATTCAGGGCGGATATGGAGGATGTATCCATGGACCTGGCACAGCAGGAAATCGAGCCGGTCCTGTCCATGGCGATGGAACAGCTCAAGACAGAGATCCACAACACTTGCGCCGTCCTCGGTATATCTCGAGGTGAGTGGTTTGTTTTTCTTTACGACTCCGAACCGGAGTTGCCATTTAGCGAATTCGACAGACCAAGGTCTGCTTATCTTTGTAATGGCCCATCAATAAAGATCAGAAGGCTTACTTGCCCACCGTCGGTCCAAAAGCCACACCTCAAGTCCTTTATTTTCGTTGTCGTAATCTTTAACATTATTTCAATATAAGAACTAGTTTCAAATTCTTCTTTTTACTATACGCACGCATGCAAACTACTTTTGACCCTTCGAGTTATTTAAGCAGCTAATTGTGTTGAATTATTATTACTTTTATTGAAAGATAATTGTTACTTTTAAAGCTTAACTCGAAACCAAGATGGCTCGGAAATGGTAATCGATTGAAAAATAATATTATAGTCACGTCTGTGTTGAATCACGTCTTTACACTCCAATCTTGGTTGTTCCCAATCACCCTCTATAATCATGGTCTAACATACTAATCATAAATGATGAGTTCTTGTTTCTTTGGAAGAATCGGATAATTAATATTGAGAAACAATGAAACTGCTTAAAACCACTAAAAACCAATTCAAAAACTAATACAAAGTATCTTTAAAAGTAATATGTTGCCATATATATTACACTGGCCGGGGGGAAATATCACGAATTGACAAAGATCGAACAAATTGGTCAATTTTGTACATTTTATCTTCTTGAAAGACGATAGATTTTCAATTTTGCTCAAGTTGCGATTTCCTCATGAGCTCCAGGTTGAAAAAATAAACGTTTTATACTGCTCAACACACATTGTAAGTTTTCGAAAATGCTTGTACATTCAATTGTTAATACAGCCAAAATGGCCAATATATAAATAAAATAAATTATTTAATCACGGCACGTAGCAATTCAAATAAATTAGTATATTTTAAAATGACTGTATAAGGCCATATTTTTATGAATGTAAAAATTAAATAAATAACGAAGATCTGGGTAAGATAATTATAAACAGTAATACTACGGTATATTAGAAGTAGGAAAAATAGGATTTGAAAGATGAAAACGAAGAAAAAAAAAAAGATAGAAAAGAAATACCTATTGCAAAAACATCGTACAAAAAGTACCATCGCATTGGAAACATAAATAGTCATAATGCACCCAAAACATCCATGATTGAAAACAAAACGAAAACAAAGACATTACGAACACAAGAACATCTTATCATTTTGAATTAAAAAATCAAGGATAAGGCCAATTTCAAGAAAAGGAAACAGTTCTTTCGTCAAGCTTTCAAAGAGTACATCAACTTCATCAGTCCTTTTAAAATATTGTTAACAATTCAGAAAAAAAAACAAATGTGAAAATCTATTTACGTTGCAATCATATTAAATTTCCGAGTTGATAAGGATTATATCGAGATAAAAAGAATCATAGAGCATCATCGATGTAAAAATTGGATTTCAAAGCATCGAATTGGGAAGATAACGACAGAAATCATTATCTTCATCATCAGCAGCAGAAATACAATATCAAGTTGAAAACATCTTATAAAACCATCGAATTGGAAATAGTAATAGTCAAATACACCCAATACCTCTTACGCAAACATCGACATGAAAAAAGGTTTTACAAAAACGCCGATTTTGAAAACAAAATAAAAAATAATAAAATATAAAACGAACAAAGAAATGGAGAAGAGTAAGGAGAAAGGGATATACCACAAAAAAGATCTTATAGGAACATCGATGTTAAAAAAACACGGAAGAGCGACATCGCTTATGAAAAAAACAACACCAAACAATCTTACACAACATAGATGTTTAATTTTTTTTACAAAAACATCGTATTGAAAATGCAAGAACAAATAATAAAATATAAAACAAGTAAAGAAATGGATAAGAAGAAGAAGACGGGACACACAGCAAAAAAGATCTTATAGAAACATCGATGTTAAAAAACCTGAAAGAGTGACATCGTTTATGAAAAAAAAAAAACACCAAAAACCATCTTACAAAACATAGATGTTTAATTTTTTTTTACAAAAATATCGGTATTGATAATGCAAGAAAAAATAATAAAATATAAAACAAATAAAGGAATGGCAAGAAGAAGAAGACCGGATATACAACAAAAATGATCTTGTAGAAACATCGATGCTAAAAAAAACCTGGAAGAGTGACATCGTTTACGAAAAAAACACCAGAAACAATCTTACAAACCATAGATGTTTTATTTATTTATTTTGTTTACAAAAACATCAGTATTGAAAATGCAAGGAAAAATAATAAAATATAAAACAAATAAAGAAATGGCAAGAAGAAGAAGACCGGATATACAACAAAAATGATCTTATAGAAACATCGATGCTAAAAAAACCTGGAAGAGTGACATCGTTTATGAAAAAAAACACCAAAAACAATCTTACAAAACATAGATGTTTACTTTTTTACAAAAACATCGGTATTGAGAATGCAAGAAAAAAAATAAAAAAAATAAAGGAATGGATAAGAAGAAGAAGACGGGATATACAACAAAAAAGATCTTATAGAAACATCGATGCTAAAAACCTGGAAGAGTGACATCGATTATGAAAAAACACCAGAAACAATCTTTAAAAAAATCGATATTTAATTTTAACACATCGATTTTTAGACATCATTGATGTTTAAAATATTTACATCGCATTTGAAAATTATCAAAAAGACTTTATGTTCGTTATTAAAAAAAGAACAAGATCGATCGATGGTGTAAAATATTTTACGAAATATCTTAGAGAATCATAAACTGTGAAAAAGTTATGCAAAATATTGATTTGAAAACTTTGAACAGAAGTATGGATGTTTAAAATTCATATAAATTTGACATTAGATTTTCGTTTATTGCAAATTTAAAAAAATTATCATCGATGTTAATTAAAAATTTAGGATGAAAATAGGATAGGTTAAAAGTTTAAAAACATCATCATAACAATAATTAATTAAAACTCAACACTAAGCATCTTATAGAAGCATCGATGTTAAAAACGTCTTACAAAACATGGATTTTGGACACATCACCAACGACGACAGAATCATCCAGGTTTACAAAAAGCCTAGCACAAAAACAAGATCTAATCCTGTATGAAAATTTGTAAAGCCGGCCTTATTAATGGTTTAAGATATCTTCAATTGTAATGCCCGTATAAAATGTTTTTACTTCGACTCATGTTTAAATCAACAACGTTTTACGTCTGAAAGCAGCGCGTTTTTTCGTGTTCTTGTCCAACAACTCTTCGCCATATTTGGAACCGCTGAGACCTGCTTCGTTCCCTTTGCACTTGGGACGTGCTCGGATCCGAAATGGGGTCAAGGAAGTCTTGATACGACTACCACACATCGTTTTACATAATTTGTACGATTTTTCATTACACGTTCACATATTTAGGAATGTAACAAAAAAACAACCAATCGCGGAAAAATATAATGAGACATCTTGTAAGATAGGAACACTTATGCTAATCGGCTTAAAACCGGGTGAATGGGCGAAAGAAACTCATCTAGTAAATTGATTTTCCGCTTTGATAAATGAACTAATTGGATTGATTAATTGCATTAAAGTCTTAATCGATATTGCATGTAAAATTATACGTAAACATTTGAATTAACGCCAACACTTTTCCATGAGCACTCAAAACAAAAAAAAATATTTTGTATACAATTGTTAAACTATATTTGTCTTTCTTATTTGTCAATGCTATTAGCAGGGGGCGTCGGTGGCCGTAACGGTTTAGGCGTTGACACGGCGCTCATCTCCGTAAGGTAAAGGTCCCGGGTTCGAATCCAGCGGCCCTGTATTCGAGCCCGACATACTTACAAATAGGCTTTTTTTTCAAAAACACCGGCACCCTGAGGGTTTATATAACCTCTGTTGCGAACCTTCGTCAAAAAAATAAAATAAATGGTATTAGCTAATAGGAAAGTCAGGAAAAATTCTTTATTGGACAAATTATGCTAATAACCAATTTTTATAAAGGCTTGAAGTTTACAGGTGTCATAACATTTAATAATAAATAATAATTTCATACTCGGGAGTATTTTAATTGAAGGAACTTTAATCAATCTTTGACGTACCACATCAAAATTATGCGTTTGTCAAGTATAAACCAACCCTTTTATTAGGAATTTAAGTTTTAAATTAAAATAGTTGTGATTTTTTCTGGTGACTGCTAACAAAATACAAACATATGTACATTTGACATATAACAATTTACATAAATTTTAAATAGGGGGTAAAATACTACCCTCAAATGCAACAAAATGAACCATGGTCTGATTCTCGGCCATTTCGCAGACATTAAACATTTTATGTTGTTTTTACTAACTATATTCGGCTTTCTTCATAAATCTACTCGTAGCTCTGGAACTATTCATTTTTGGGCAAATCCAAAAAAAATTATTGGAAAGTGCGTTCATTTTCCTCTAATAAGTCACTTTTAATTTAATTTTTGGAAAAAAACACTAATTTTTTCAAAAACTGTTAAATTTAAAATTTGTAAAAAAAAAACAACTACATTTGCAACCTAATCCTCCCGGATCCTTTTCTTTAATTACAAAGAATAAAACAGCACGAACAATAGACAAAAATCAACGTAATTTTTCTGCTTTGTTATTGCCTTTTATACGTTGATTTTTTTCTTTTTTATGTTTTTTATAAGTTAAAGTTGGGTTTTTACAATTTTTTTTGGTGTCCTTTTTTTTGGTTTTGTCTGTGTTTATTGTATATATTTTGTCTAGTTTTTCTGCTTTGGTTGTTCTCAATGTTTAGTTTTGGGCTTTTTTTATTAAGTTATAGTATAGTAATATTCAAATTTTGCCCAGGACAAAAAGTTGAATTACTCGAATACCACTTCCCCATTTTTCACACCGGCAACACTTTTTTCCCATTTAGCATACAATTTTTTATTGTTGTCCTTTTTTGTTTTTGTTTGTGTTTAGTGTAGATATTTTGCCCAATTTTTCTGCTTTGGTTGTTCTCAATGTTTATTTTTGGGCTTTTTTT